GATATTATAGTCCTATTGTTGATGGTAAGACTGGTGTCGGTGATGGTGTTCTGAGACTGAGTCTATTAAAATTAAGTCTACATTATACTATATAGTTCGTCCATCGTGGTTCGATGATGACTACATTGTCATCCATGGGGCTGAGGGCTTTGCACTGGGGTTTTATGCCTCCTCATGTGGCTGGTGAGACCTATGTGAGCTCGGAATGTTCGGCCGCACACTTGGCAGGTAATTCCAGCTGGAGCTAGTGTCGTTTGTCTTGCTTTTCTTTTCTGGCGTTTTTCTTCTGCCAGCGTTGTTCTTTTTTCCTCAGCAACTTGTGCGCCAGTTTTCACAGCGCGATGCCATGATGCTCTGTCATGTGCCTCTGTCTCGGAGGTGCCGGGTCTATGATGAACGCTTTCTTTGACCACCTTGCAAGCGCTTTCCTTTGCTTAGTTGGCCATACAAGAGTCGTTTAGGAATGCGGTGGTCTTCCATCCTGTAGACATGACCTGCCCATCGCAGCTGGGACTGCATCAGGATTGTGTGGATGCTTTGCAGACACGCTCTTCGAAGGACTTCCGTATCTGGTATTTTGTCTTGCCATTTGACATTTAGTAATTTTCTCAGACATGTCATGTGGAAGGGGTTTAGTTTCTTTGCATGTTTACTGTACACTGTCCATGTTTCTGAGGCATAGAGCAATGTGGGGAGGATGACGGCTCTATAGACCCCTAACTTTGTGTTTGTGGTGATACCACATCTGTTCCAGACATTTGTAGACAGTCTGCCATAGGATGCACTGACCTTGGCGATACGCAGGTCGATTTCACTATCGATTTTTCCATTTCTGGAGAGTGTGCTGCCAAGATATGTGAATTTGTCCACTGCGTTTATATCCTGTCCTTTTATAGTGATGCTTGTATCCGAGTAGGCTTTCCCAGGAGCAGGTAGATGTAAGACTTCAGTCTTGTTTGTGTTGATGGTAAGGCCAAAGTCTGTGCATGCTCTTGAGAAGTCACTGACGATGCTCTGCAGATCGTTTTCAGATCAGGCATTTAGGGCACAGTTGTCAGCAAATAGCAAGTCTCTGATTACTGCTGCATTTGTTTTTGATTTTGCTTTAAACCTCCTCGGGTTGAATAGGCCACCATCAAATCTGTATGATATATTTATCCCATTGTTTTCTCTATTTGTGAATGCATCTGTCAGCATAGCGGAGAACATGATACTGAACAGTGTAGGTGCTAGGACACAGCCTTGTTTTACCCCGTTTGATACTTCGAAGGGCTCTGATGGTTCTCCACTTTCTTGGACACGAGCCTTCATGCCATCATGAAATAGTCTCATTATGGTTATGAATTTTTGTGGACAGCCATACTTTGACATGATCTTCCAGAGTCCTTCTCTGCTAACAGTGTCGAATGCCTTTGTTAAGTCGACATATATTGACAACAGGTCAGCATTTTGTTCTTGGCATTTTTTCTGGAGCTGCCTTGCTGCAAAGATCATGTCAATGGTTCCGCGTTCTTTTCTGAAGTGCACTGGCTTTCTGGTAGAAGACCATATTCTATGTGTTTCATGAGCCGATTTAGTACGATGCGTGCAAGGATTTTCCCAGCAATAGAGAGAAGAGATATTCCTCTGTGGTTGTCGCAGATCTGGCGGTTTCCTTTTTGCTTGTATAAATGAACAATTGTGGCATCTTTAAAGTCTTGTGGTATTGACTCTTTTTCCCACATAATTAAGAAGAGCTTATGAAGTCTTTCAATCAGGGCTAATCCACCTTTTTTGTAGACCTCTGCGGGAATGGAGTCAGCTCCTGGGGCTTTTCCGCTTGCGAGCTGTTGAATGGCAAGATCGGTTTCCTTTAGCCTAGGGGGGTCATCCATTTTTTCATTTATTGGTACTTGCTGTAGCCTGTCTATGGCCGCTTCATTTATAATCGAAGGTGTATTGAGAACCTTTTTGAAGTGCTCTGCCCAGCGTTTTAGGATTTCTTTCTTATCTGTCAATAGGATTGTCCCATCAGCATTTAATAGAGGTGATGAGCCTGACTTTGTGGGTCCATAGATTTCGTTTACGGCATGGTAAAAGTTCTTCATATCGTGCTTGTCAGCTAATTCCTGTATTGTTTCCACTTTCTTGCTAAGCCAGGTATCTTGCATATGGCGTAGCTGTTTTTGCACATTTTTGCGGATGTTAGTGAATGCATCTTTAGTGGACTGGGAGTATGGGTTGTTCAGATACAATTTGTGGAGCTTGTGCTTTTCATCTAATAGTTTTCTGATCTCAGTACTGTTTTCATCAAACCAGTCCTGATGCTTTCTCTCCATAGGACAGAGTATGTTTAATGCTGTGCTATAGATAGCTTCTTTGAAGCATTCCCAGCTTTTATCTACATTTGATTCAGTTAGAAGGGTGGACTTGAGGCAGTTCTCTATCGCATCTGCAAGCGACTTTTCAGTTTTGTCATCTGCTATCGGTACGCATATATTTATAGATCTACATCTGACTTATAAATCAAATTATAATTCTATATTTTAATTAGTCCATAATTATATAATTTGGATTTTGACATTCTAGTTAGAGTCTAATCAAATAATTGGACGCTAACAACAAATGTATAAAATAAATGTAAATGTTAGATCATAGTAACCTTAAGCCTACCTAAGTTGGACACCCCACCTTATTATTGTCACAAATCTAACATATATTATAAAGAAGAATAGTAGAATGTAAGGAGTATGTTTAATATATAGTATATGTCCTGCATAGAAATCAAAACCATTTGACTAATCTTGATAAAATTTGGTTTGCCTTTGACTGATAATTATCTGTTTCTGATTTATTTTTTTTTTCTTTTCAGAAGGGGCAGCCACTCACAAGCCTACACCATTACAGCAGAGGATGTTGGTATGGGAAAAGTTTTATCCATCCCTAGATAAGGTCCCGGATAGAGTAAGGTAGGTATTTATGTGACCATTGAACTTTCTGTTCCTTCTTTACTTCCATTTTGGCACTTGGGTGGTCCTGCTTAGCTTTCTTTGCTCTACATATGAGAAGAGTGTGAAGGATGTCATTGAACATCTAGTTGATGAAACTAAAGGGTCACCAACCACTTATGTATATTTAGCTATTGTTTTATCCTATGAAGGGACTGGTATGCTTATATTCTCTTTTAATGTGCCAGCTCCTCTCCCATTTTATCATCAGAACATCTAGAAATTTACTTATTACTAATCATTGAATCTCCCTTTGTGGTGATGAGAAGATTTTCGTGTGAGATGTGTTTAAGCCTATACAATAATTAATTACAATGCCAATTAAGCCTTCAGTTCTTCTTCATCTAGCCAGCTTCTTGCTGCTGAGCTGTTAGCTCTTTTGCAGTCAGTGCCATGGCAAAGTACCACCCTGTTATTCTCAGTTGTATCCCATTGCCGTACAGAGTGTTGGTTATGCTGGGGTGTTGAGTAGGGTCTGTCCAAGGGAAATTAAATTGGGGCATTTTAAGCAACAACTGGCTACCCATTTTTTCATTGTCTTTAAATAGCAGTCAGTCTGTTGGTGTACAGGGTATAGACACTTATTTAGTTGGCTTGTTTTAAGGCTCCTTAACTTTGGGATTTCCCATGGTCTGGTGCTGTGAGACGCATGTCGAGATTTTTTGTTGTTTTCTACATCTTTCTTGGCAACTTGTTAATTAAGATTAGCTGTATTGGTTCCGAATGTATGTTTTCTGGTTTTATAATCATTTTGGAACAGGATCATCTAATAAGCTGCTAACAGGAGAAGCCAAGGAAAGAAAGTAAAAATTGTTATTCAATACAGCAAATAGTCATACTGGATAGCAAACTGTCATGTGATAACTTTAATGTCCTCACTTCAGTTCCCACTTGAGTGCAATGGGATTTCTTTGGTCTAGTTGAATAACTTTCTGGAACAAAGGGCAGGAGTAAAGGCGATTAAAATTCTTAAATTTGTTTAATTGAACTCTTCCATAGCAAATGTACCAATATGGCTGATGCACCCTTTGCTCATTGGTGTTAAGATTCTGGCAGCACAAGTTAACATAAACTTACAAACATGATGTTATAAAAGCAAGCTTTCTTAAAATAGCGTGCAACAGGCTTTAAGCTTTAAAGATGGGGGAGGGGGGGGGGGGAGCTTATCTGTGTTGATTGTTGGATTGTAGCTCCAATCAGCTAGTCCAACTATACCATTGTAGGTGTATTGATTTCTTAATGCAGAACTTGAATAAAACTTTAAAAACTTTTTAAACAATTTTACATTGATTCCATATCTATGTAAATGTATGTAGGAGCACAAATGATTAAATTATTATTTTGAACACTTGAAACTTACTTTTACTAATAGAAGTCTTTCTGTCACTTATCTCCTGCTATTCTTCTTACTTTTACAACTTTCACTCCATTAGTTGATCACCTCAAAGATCACAGACTTTATCATCACATCAGAATCTTTTCAGCCTACACAACCAGAGAATTTGTCTAGTTTAACTCATGGTTACATCAGAAACATGAGCTCATAATGACATTCTAGTGATTGCATTTATTTGTGTCTGTAGCTTAAATTTTGTCACTGTGCAAGAAATTTTATTTTGTTATAGAATATCATGCCAACCACCAATGTAAAATTATTGTTTCACAATATTTTCCAATTAACTTTTTTTTTTCAGCAAAGGTCAAATGAAAAAAGCAATGGACAAATTTCGAGTTCGGTGCTCCTTGTATATGATAGCCCTTACACTGATATGTGCTGCCATAATGGCGACCATAGGAAGAATGGAGAGAGATCAAGGCAACAGTGTCGCAAAGATAAACCAGTCCAGATATAGCAAAACATGAGTTTCTTTTAGTCTGGTGTCAATAATGTCACCATTAAATAACTTTGACAAGTTTACATTTTGTATGTTTGCTGTGTACAGCAATGAATTAGAAACAGTTCACCTGCATAATGTTATGTGTCAGTAAGAGAATGGGGCTATACATTTAGAGTCTGTCTTTATTTTTAATTTCTAGGATTTTTAACTAATTTAAACTCCTTGCCCAATATTTGGACTCAAATGTTACTTATTGTTAATAATATATATGTGATTTCTCAATGCTAATGAAATGAGGAGTGCGACATAATTTGGTCTATTTATTGATAACTTTGTTTTCTTTTGACTTGTTAACTAAGATAATTGCTGAAAAATAGATAGATGTTTCATGCTAAATATTAACATGAAAAAAAAAACAAAAAAAACATGAAGCTTCAATGCAATTTTAATAATAATAAACAAAATTGATTAAGCTCTTCACCATAAATTTAGCTGCATCAGTTCATTGAACATTATTAATGTAATGTTTGTGATACATAAACTTTTAAATGTCTTGATTAATATGCCTTATTCTTGAATCTCTATATGTAGTAACTTAGTAGGAGTGGTACAAAGATTGTGTAACAAATGTAGGAGATGAAGCTATACAATGACTTTCCTGTTTCAAATAATGTACCAACTGGAGTTTGTGTTATTAAATCTTTAAAACAAATATTTTGTATTCTTGATTGTGTTTTGAGTTGTGCTGATCTTGAAAAAATGTTTTTTTAGTAGTAAACTGAACTGATACTAGTAATTTTAAATATACCTAAAAAAAATTTTTCAGTGTTTCAATTTCCAAGTAAACAAAAAGTCATTGTGTCTGTTTTTTTTTTTTTTATAGGTTTCTTGTATTTTCTCTGTGATGGTAAAATCATAATTTAAAACTGGGAGTGAAATAAGTTTTTTTTTAATGGTTAAAATCTTTTTAGCTTTCTCAAGAATCCAATCATCTAGAACAAAATATCTGCATGTAAAATTGTGTTTCTACACGTTGCTTGTAGCGATAGACTCAATAAACTTCAATAATTTTAAAATCACCTTTAAATAAAAGAACTTTAAAAAAAAAAAATTAAATAACAAAAAAAGGACATTGGAATTGGTAATCTCAAATGTTAATATGCTAAATGGCTCTAATAACAAAATCTGGGAAATTGTATACAAATGTGAACACCTTTTCAATAAAAGTTCCCCTTTCAGACCTTGTGATCTGTAGGGCAGATGATGTAAAGGTCATCTGTTTCTGTGGCCTACGGTTAACGAGAGTGTAATGTGGCCAGCACCAACCATCTTTACTTTTCCTCAACTAATGTCAGGTACCCATTAGAGTTGGGTAGACTCAGCGCCCAAAGATCTCGAAATTAAAAATTCCAGGGACCTCCGGATTAGAAACCAAGTGTTTTACCGCTCAGCCAAAGCGCCTCCACCTTTTCAATACAAACAAAAAAAAAATAGAAAAAAAGTACATGTGATTGACTTAGATCTCTATGTACTAGAATTTTTTTTGAGATTAGAACTTAAAGTTGTACACATTATGCTTCAATCTTCTCTCATTTGTAAAAATAGTAGATTTTTAAAAATTATTTTATGATAACTAGTATTTATATATAGCACTCATAGCCTGAAAACTGTAAAGACCGGTCAAGGGAGTACACCCATTCACCAGTATACGTAAAACAAAAAGTAGCCAAAGGTGGTTCAAGAGAGCGCACCCATCAACCATAATTTTTTTAACCTATCTCTCACGTAGACTACCGGTACATGCCACAGTGACTGAATGAGTGGCCTAAAAAATTTGCTCCTCTCAGAGCAAGAGTGTGTACTTCGTGTGAAGTGAGAAATGGAACATAGTCTGCTAGACTCCTTATTTTACGCTGCTAGAATCTGTGTAGAACTAGGCTACTGGAAAGTAGATCGAAATCAAGTAGCAGAACTAGAACTGCCAGAAGGTGAGTTGTTTTTGTTGTTCTAAATAAATGAATGGCGATTTAATTTGATTTAGAATCTAGAGAGTAGAGTCTAGAAGTTGTTGATAGTGGACTATTTATTTACATTTAACAGTGTATTTTTATCATTGAAAAATACATAATCTACATAGATTCTAGATCTCTATAAAATTGTAAACTTTTATTTTTTTACTTTCTCTTAACTTCCTGTGTTTCTTATCTTATATCTTACAATACTTACAGTAGTTACAGACGTTCTTTTAAAGAATAATAATAGATCTAGAATATATAATTATATCTACATCCTACCCGTATCTAGATCTATATTGTCAATCTACCTACCCACTATTAATAAATGTAAAAGAAATCTAAACAATAATAGCAACATAGAAGAAAAGTAATGTCTGTATTAGATAAGATAAGAGCAATATAAATCAAGATTCTAAATATAGGATTCAGTAATAAATATATTCTTCATTTTAAATCCTAGAACTATTGCAGTTATTTTTAGATTAGCTTCCTATTACAGATTTACTTAATTTAAAATGCAATACAGTAATAAACTTTATCTGAGTCCACCCTTCTCTAATGGGTTCCTGACTTAAGTTGGGGAAAGTAAAGGTGGTTGGTCATTGTGCTGGCCACACGGTATCCTGCTCATTAACTGTTGGCCAAAGAAAAGACCTTAACATCAATGTCATACTCCTTCTGGTGTAATTTTGATGAAATCAGCCTTCTGATCTTAGGCAGGCCTGTCTAATTGCACAATTTCATATTGTATACTCTTGTTACTGCTTCAGATACAGATTTTGGTGTCAGGTTCACTTTGTCAAATAGCATGTTTTTTTTTTTATTTCTTTTGAAAATAGGAGATTAAAGCTTCTCAATACAAAGATGTGATGGCACAAATAAGGCTTGAACTAAAGATGTAGCCTCTCACTTTAAATCTATCTGTCTCATTTCTAAGTTTGTGATGCATTAATGATGACATTATTGCTAAATAATGACTTAGCAGAGTTTAAATCTCTTATTAACATGCATGATTAGATTAACGCATGGATACACATAGGAAATAATTACCTTCACTTTTGAAGGATTGATTGTAATTATGAGATAAAATTAAATTTGTGCTAAAGTTGGAGTTAGTCTGCCATTCATCTCAGAGTTGACATTCAGATGTCTCAAAATCACAATTAAAAAGTAACTATAAAGAACGTCTGCTGCATTTAGTATTTTAGCTTCATTTTTTTGTCCAGGTTTGTTAAGTTAAGAAAAAACAATACATTTTAAGTTCCTGGCACTTGTTGGGTCTTTGTCTTTACTTGTGTTTATTGTTCCACACCCATTTTTACATGTCACGCCTCATGAAGCTTTTTAGTATTTTGTATTGACAAATAAAGGGCTGGATATGCTGAGGGTTTAACCACAAGGGGTCACAAGTTCAAATCACTGTTAAAATGAGGATTTATACTTTAGGATCATTATGCTAACCCTGAAACCACTCAATTCTAATAGATACCTGATGTTAGTTTGGCAAAGTAATTAAGGCCATTGGTCGCATGTTCTAGCCACTTGCCACTCTCTCATTAACTGCTCTCTCATAGATTTGATGAGCTTTACGTTATGAACCGCAAGGTCTAAACAGGAAAGCTTATGGCAAAGAAAAAAAAACTAATCCTAAACATGTTGAATTAAGCCTAATCTACATGTCTCAAATGCAGTCAGCTTTTCAGGGGAAATATTCAATTCCACAGACATCTTCCTGTACTCATAAAAGAAGACCAAACTCATCTTCTATCATGAAATATGAGCTTGACTTGTCACTTCTGCTGTTTGAACTATGACCTGGAACTCTTTTTTATAACTAATATTTGTATAAGAAATTCAATTTCTTTCCAATTACAATTGTTTTCAGCCCTGCTCTAAAATTTAGTTAATCTCTAGGCATAGTTTTAATAATTTGAAACCTTTTATTTTTCCATTTTCCAAAAAAACTTAAGTCAAAGCTGGAGAAACAAGCTCATGAAGCAGTAGATCTACACAGTGTGAAGGGATGAAAGAGGAAAAAAGGTGGACAGTCTGAACATCACATGTCAGTATGGTTGAAACAGTTTACCAGAAACTCTACAAAATTGAGATGTAATTATCATAACATACATGCATGATTTCTGATACGCTTTTCAAATATATACCTGTATTGCTTCAGAATTTTAGCTTCATATTTGATTAATATTTTCATCCCAGTTCAATAAAGTTTTCAACTAGCTTAATAATTAAAGGTTTTTTGAATATGCATAATGTTAGTCTAGTTTTATCTTACACAGACAGAAGTTCCTTAAATTTTTTTTGCTTAAATATGTGTGTTAATCTAGACATTTATGTCAACTATACTCTACTAAGTTGTTGATATTCTTGGCTGAGTTAGGCATCTGATCTTTGCAAGTATGAAAGACAATTGGATAGATAATCCTGTTTTATTTCTTCAATGTTTTAAAATATCCCATCATCTTGTACTTTACACATTATCAACATTGTATATAATTTATTTAATAATTTTTGATGCTATTATTTGAGGATGTGGTGCTTTATCACTTTGCTTCAAAATTCAGAATTAGGATGTAGTTCTACATTTTTCCATCTAATGCCAATGTTACCTGACATAAGTTTGAAAGGAATAATTCCAATGTTACCTGACATAAGTTTAAAAGGAATAATTCCAATGTTACCTGACATAAGTTTGAAAGGAATAATTCCAATGTTACTTGACATAAGTTTGAAAGGAATAATTCCAATGTTACCTGACATAAGTTTGAAAGGAATAATTCCAATGTTACCTGACATAAGTTTAAAAGGAATAATTCCAATGTTACCTGACATAAGTTTGAAAGGAATAATTCCAATGTTACTTGACATAAGTTTGAAAGGAATAATTCCAATGTTACCTGACATAAGTTTGAAAGGAATAATTCCAATGTTACCTGACATAAGTTTGAAAGGAATAATTCCAATGTTACCTGACATAAGTTTGAAAGGAATAATTCCAATGTTACCTGACATAAGTTTGAAAGGAATAATTCCAATGTTACCTGACATAAGTTTGAAAGGAATAATTCCAATGTTACCTGACATAAGTTTGAAAGGAATAATTCCAATGTTACCTGACATAAGTTTGAAAGGAATAATTCCAATGTTACTTGACATAAGTTTGAAAGGAATAATTCCAATGTTACCTGGCATAAGTTTGAAAGGAATAATTCCAATGTTACCTGACATAAGTTTGAAAGGAATAATTCCAATGTTACTTGACATAAGTTTGAAAGGAATAATTCCAATGTTACCTGGCATAAGTTTGAAAGGAATAATTCCAATGTTACCTGACATTAGTTTGAAAGGAATAATTCCAATGTTACCTGACATAAGTTTGAAAGGAATGGTGGCTAGTTGATGTGCCTGCCACAAGAAACATCATTAACCTTCAGCCATAGAAACTTGTGCCTTGTTGATTGCACAATCTGAAAAGGAAAGTTTACTTTTTATCTCTGTTATTATAATTTGTCTTCAAAGTACCAAGTCTTCATGCTTAGTATTTTCTGATGCACTTTAGTGCACTTGTGGATAATGTAAATGTTATAGATTTCCATGTTGCCTAAAGGTTCCAGCTAACATAATGTATGAAACTTAAAATAATCTTGAATTTTAAATTCCTGTTTCCTTTGGAATATGAACT